TGGGATGGCTGGGAGGAGGTGGGGCAACTGGGAGAGTAGGGTTCTGGTGGAGCGCCGGGTGCCAGGTCTAAAGCCGTTGGAGGGAACTGTAAGAGGAGGTGTTGGTTGGCAGCTGGGTGTGTGATTTCGGGGGTTGAAACTGGGGGGGTAGAGAGAGGGAAAAATGGACTTGTAGCACGGAGATGGCATTTAAAGCCACGGAACTGGGAGAGATACCTCATCTTGGGCATTCTCATGAAACCCCTCAAGGTTACTTAAAAGGGCTTGAAAAAGTTCACAGGAGTGGAAATTAACAGATAACTTTATTTTTGTGCAGAACAATGAAATCAACGCTTAGTTTTTTCATAATGTGCATACATGCACGTTATATTTCCTGGTGCGTTCCCCCCACATTAAATGTAACACAACTTCCATTCTGCGATCCAGGAGCACCAGTCTCTGCTTCCAGAAGCAAAACCCTCCAGGCTTTATCTTGTCTCCTGCATTCTCACTGGAGCTTAATCTGCCTCATGCATTCAGATCCTACATTTCATTTTCAAAATCATCTTTCTCTGGGCACCTTGGGACCTGGCCTCCCCCTAACGTGGCTGCTTCTGTCTTTGGTGAAGTCTGTAGAAAGTGATCCTTATCACTGCGGGAGTGCGGGCGGAGCAGAGAGGTCAGGACTCTCTTCTCCCCCTGCACCATCCATAACCTCCTCCTCCTCCTCCTCCTCCCCCCCACCCCCACTCTCTTCTGTCTTCACAGCAGTCTTCTCCATCAGCATCATGGTATGCTTTTTTTTTTTTTTAAAGATTTATTTATTGGGACCGACGCTGTGGCTCAGCGGGTGAAAGCCATGGCCTGCAGTGCTGGTATCCCATGTGGGCGCTGGTTTGAGAGAGAGAGAGAGGTCTTCCATCCACTGGTTCATTCCCCAGATGGCCGCAATGGCTTGGAGCTGAGCTGATCTGAAGCCAGGAGCCAGGAGCTTCTTCCTGGTCTCCCATGTGGGTGTAGGGGCCCAAGGACTTGGGCCATCTTCCGTTGCTTTCCCAGGCCATAGCAGAGAGCTGGATTGGAAGTGGAACAGCTGGGATTCAAACTGGAGCCCATATGGGATGTTGGCACTGCGGGCAGTGGCTTTATCTGCTACACCACAGCGCTGGCCCCCATCGGTATGCTCTTAACAACTTGCATACCTCACTCACACTTTCTCCATATCTCATCTGCCACCACCATCTTCAATGACTTTAAAACCACACAGATTAGATGAGTTTTATGCTCTGGTGCTTCAATTCTTCAACTTTCTCAACTCCAGCATCTTTGCAGCTTTTTTCTCTGCTTGATTTTATTTTATTTAAAAAAATGGATTTATTTATTTGAAAGGCCAGAGCGACAGAGAAAGAAAGAGAGGTCTTCCTTCCACTGGTTCCCTCCCCAGGTGTCTGCAACAGTCAGGGCTCGCCCAGGTTGGAGCCAGAAGCCAAGAACTCCATCCTAGTCTCCCACATGGGCGGCAGGGGCACCTCGGTCATCACCTGCGGCCTTCCCAGGTGCTTAGCAGGGAGCTGGATCATGTGACCCAAATCAGCACCAATACAGGGTGCTGGAGTCTCTGCTCCATTTTAGCCACCCCTGAGCTAGGTCGTACTTTGAACCTCAGTATCACTTTGAAGGGCTATCCCTTCAGGGTCTTTTTTTCCCACTTTATTTGAAATGGAGAGAGAGAGGGAGAAAGAGAGGGAGAGAGAGAGAGAGACAGAGAGAGATACAGAGAGAGAGAAACAGAGAGAGAGAGGAGAGATACAGGGAGAGAGAGGAGAGATATCTTCCACCTGCTGGTTCACTCTACAGTTGCCAGTAATGGCCAGGACAGGCCCAGGCTGAAGCCAGGTGCTCCGGACTCAGTCTGGGTCTCCCATGTGGGTGGCAGAGACTCAAACAGTTGAGCCATCACTTGCCGCCTCCCTGGGCGTACATCAGCAGGGAGCTGGTGTCGGAAGTGGGCTGGTACCCAACCCTGGCTCTCGGATATGGCATGGGGACATCCCAGGCGGCATCTTCACCGCTGCACCGAGTGCCCGCCCTGACCTTCCAGGTCTCGAACTCTGAAATTTTCCTTTCATCACAGCCACTCACTTGTCACGTTTCCCACTCTTCCTCCCACTGAATCAGTTCTTCGTCCCCATCAAGACTTCACTTCTCCCCTTATTGATTTGCTTAGCATCCTGCACGGGTAATGATTTCCATTACTTTTTCATTATCATTTTAGAATCTCTCACCTCCCTGATGTCCCAGCAGGAAGACTCTGACACATTGCATGGGGTCAGCTCGAAGGTCTCACTCCTGAGTCCTTTTGGGCTTCCGGAGAGTCTGGTGGGCACTGGACTCCCATCCGGCCTTCCAATCCAGAGTTGTCTGCATTCTTTGACAAATCTTTCAGGCCCTATTTTTTTTTTTTAAGATTTATTTATTTATTTGAAAGCTGGAGTTACACAGAGAGAAGGAGAGGCAGAGAGAGAGAGAGGTCTTCCATCTGCTGGTTCACTCCCCAAATGGCTGCAATGGTCGGAGCTGGGCCAATCTGAAGCCAGGAGCCAGAGCTTCTTCTGGGTCTTCCACATGGGTGCAGGGGCTCAAATGCCTGGGCCGTCTTCCACTGCTTTCCCAGGCCACAGCGGAGCAGAGCAGCCGGGACTCGAGCCTGTGCTCCTCTGGGATGCCGGCGCTGCAGGCGGCGCGGCCCCAGCTCTCCTTTCATCCAGGCTCCTCGTCCACGGCCTTGTCTTTCCCACGTCCTTCCCCCTCCTCGTATTCTCAGCTTCTTTTGCTCGTTGTGCATCTTTCCTTTTACACACTGACTCAATTTTATTTCTTGAAAATAAAAAAACTGTTTCCCTGAACTCCTTCTCCCTCAACCGTCCACTCACCCCTCACTTCCCTTTCCACGTGATGTCAAGAGAGTAGCCTGCTTTTTCAGGAACTGGTAAAATTTTCCTCGTCCGTCCTCGTCCGCCGAATTCGTGGGTAGAACTAAGAGATGATTCTTAACGAGCTTGTGTATTCACTGTTCTGTCACTTTGTACCCACCGCCTCCCTTCCCTCACCTCCCACTCACTCATTCCTCAACCTGTACGAAGTGAGTTCTGCCTCTTATTAAATGGAAATGATATTCTCAAAATTTGTAATCGTCTAGTTCCTGAGCCCGAAGGACCGTTTCCAGCCCTCACCTGCGAGACCTCTGCAAAGCCTCAGATGCGGTTGCTCAGCCCTCCCTCACCCTGCTCTCTGACCGCTCCTCGCGCTTCGCTGCTTTAGGGATTTGTGTGGCCACTCCGCCACCTTCCCCAGGAAGGGAATGACGGCCACATCCATCCCTCCAGTCCAGACTCTTTGAGGTTCACACCTTCTTGCTGGAGACTTCTGCCTGAGTGTCATATCAGCCCCTCACACTCAGCAGCCTTGGAGCCCTCTGAGCAGGTGCACCTCCCATCAGCAGTGTGGGTGTTGCTTGTTTGTCTCACTAGACTGTAAGGCTGGGAAGGCACATTTTTTTTTTTCTTTTCTTATATCTGTTGTCTGGCAGTGCCCTGCTCCAGACAAATGCTTAAGAAAAGTTTAAATGTTTGAAACTGAACTTATCTTTCCTCAGCCATCCTCTTCCTTCTTGGTGTGTCCAGGGCTGGGCGATATCCCTTGGGCTGTGTAGTTATCTGGTCTGTCTCTACAGGGCCAAGGCAACTGTAAAAGGTTCTCAAAGTTCAGTAAATTTGGGGCCGGTGCTATGGTGCAGCGGGTTAAAGCCCCAGCCTGCAGCACCGGCAGCCCATGTAGGCACTGGTTTGAGTCCCGGCTGCTCCACTTCTGATCCGGTTCTCTGCTATGGCCTGAGAAGGCAGTAGAGGATGGCCCAAGTCCTTGGGCCCCTGCACCCGCCTGGGAGACCTGGAAGAAGCTCCTGGCTCCTGGCTTCGGATCAGCTCAGAACTGGCCGTTGTGGTCATTTGGGGAGTGAACCAGCGGAATGGACGAGCTCTCTCTCTGGCTCTACTTCTCTCTGTAACTCTGTCTTTCAAATAAATAAAATAATTCTTTAAAAAAAAGTTCAGTAAATCTATATCAGGCTCATTTTTAAGGTTGATAATTTTGTGTGGCCTCTTGAGTGTTGTTAGAAATATCCAAATGGCCCTTGGAAGATAAAAATGTTCCCCACCCCTGGTGTAGGCCATCATCATCTTTCCAATCCCCTGGGCTCAAAACTTTTAGTCAGCTAAGGGTCCTCTTTTCCCATCCGACTGTTTGTCATGTCCTAAAGTCCCCTCACAGTTTATGAAATCTCTTCCTTCCTTTAATGCCACTTGGTAGTGCTGGGACTTCAGTGGAAAGCACACAGCTTCAGGGTCTGTGAGTGGAATGCTCGTTCCCCTACTTTTTAGCCATGTGGCCTTAAGCAGGGGCCACACTAAGGGCCTCAGCTTTGTCATCTGGACATGGGGACGGACTCCTTATTCCTGTTGGCAATGCACGGCAGCAAGGGATGATCCCTTCCCTCACCCCGCGGAAGGGTCATGGCCAATACTCCAATAGCAAAAGACAGGCTAACCAGAGAACAGCATACCCAAGCTTTATTGCATCAAAGTTTTACGTGATACGGGAACCCTCAGAAGTGAAGACCCAGGCCCCAAGGAAAACCGTCCATTTCTAAGCGCTTAGACTTGATGAAGAACAGGCAGCGCGTGGAAACGTGATTGGACAAAAAGGGTGTGAGCTAATGGCAACCGACGGAGGGCCGAAACGAGGCTGGTCTGTCCAGATTCTCCCTGGCCTCTCTTTGCAGCTTTCCTTCCTGTAGGAACAGACAGGATGTGTCTGGAATGAAGCTTTTCTTTTCTTTCTTTCTTCTTCTTCTTCTTTTTTTTTTTAAATATTTATTTGAAAGACAGAGTTAGAGAGAGAGAGGGAGAGAGACAGTGAGAGAGATCTTCCATCGTTGGTTCACTGCCCAAAGGACTGCAACGGCCGGGACTGGGCCAGGCTGAAGGCAGGAGCCAGAACTTCTTCCGGGTCTCCCACGGTGAGTGCAGGGGCCTAATTTCTCAGAGCATCTTCTGCTGCTTTCCCAGGTGCATCAGCAGGGAGCTGGTTCAGAAGTGGAGCAGCCAGGACTTGAACTGGCACCCATATGGGATGCTGGTGCTGCAGACCGCGGCTTAACCCTCTGTACCACAGCGCCTGCCCTAGACCAAGCTCTTCTAACCAAGTGCCAGACAAGGTAGGTTAGAGACTTTTTAAAAAAGGTGTTGGGGGGGGGGGCGGGGAGGAAGGTTAGACTCTTTGTAGATTCTATGGCTGCCTTTTCTGGTTTCTATGTCCTGATTTGGGAAAAGGAGTTATTTTTATAATTCTCTTCATGGGGAGCAAGACAGGCGATGGGAGAGAGAGAGAGAGAGAGAGAGAGAGAGATTGCTTCTGAGCCCTCTCAATCTCGTTTAGCTCAAAGTACTCAACAAGGCAACACGCCAAGCTTTGGGCTACGGTTTCCTGAGTGCATCAGATTCCTGGTGTTGGGAAAATGGCTATTAACACACAGCAGGGAGTGAGTTGATGACAGGTTTTCCCACTCCTTGCCTGCATGTCCCGTAGCACTTCCCTGTGACCTTGGCGTTCTGCCGTTCCTTCTTCAGCACACGCTCCCTCACGCCTGTGCCCTTCGGTGCAGGATGCTCTCGTCCGTTTCTCAGCCTGTTTTCTGGCTTCCTGGCCTCTGCTGAAGCCGTCTCATTTACCTACGAAGCCTTCCTCTCCATCTCCACCCGCCGAAGTCCTGCCCACTCATCAGAGCCCACGCAGGTGTGGTCCCCTCCTCATGGCCTCCCCGGATGCTTGCAGGTCACGTTCACCTCCCTCTCTGCAGCCACTGCACCTGGCCATCGGGTCCACCCTGCAGGCCTGAGTCAGCTGGTTGTGTAGGGGTCTGTGTCCCCGTTAGACTGCACACTCGAAGCAGGGCTTGAAACTACCTCTAGGCCACATCCCGCTCAGCCGACCTGCTCTGACTCTTTGTCTAACTGAGCTTAAACCTACTCCAGCCCCAGCCCCTCAATGACCTCTTCAACCTCACCAACTGTTTATCCAACAGAAGCCCAAAGCTTCCTCCACGGAGACTCAACCCCCTGCTCCCAGCTCAGGAGGGCAGAGACACACACTTGCAGCCCCTGCAGTGTCTCCCAGGAGGCACCGAGCCACCCCGTGGGGATCCCTGGTCCCCTCCCTGCCCCCACTGTGGTGGACAGGATGCCTGCAGCCTGGCACCAGGGGTCAGAGGAAGCCAAGGGCCTCTAGGGCTCAGTATTTTTATCAGCCTAGGAAACAAGAGACACAGAAGCGGAAACTGTGTGGTCAGAGAAAGTGAACAACCTTTTTCTCCGGGGAACCCCCACCGGGGCTGGGGGCCAGACGCCAAGGAGGGACACCAAAGAGAGGTTGCTCCAGGGGTCTGGGAACAAGGGCTCGCTTTGCCTTGGTTTTAAGTAACCCTTGGGGGTGGGGGTGGGGGTGGGGAAACGATGTGCTTAAAAACCAGAGAGAAATCTCCTGGGCGCAGGAGCGAATTCAGACGTGAAGCTCATCTGTTGCTTGCCTCTCAGCCCCTCGCTTAGGGATCCTAACCCCAGCACCCGCCGCCGGCTCCCCCCAGCTCCAGGCCTGGGCTCTTTGCATGCCACTTCCGAAATCTCCCGCCTGTGAGAGGAACTAGACGCTGGGTTGCTCACAGCACTGTCTCTTCTCTGAATCACGGCAGCTTCCTCTCACAGGATCTTTCTCACCAGCACCCCCCCCCCCTTCTGCCCCTGAACATGTGCCTGGGCCCCCCTCCTAGGTTCAGGCTCTGTCTTCAGTCTCATGCCCAGCCCCTGTCCCCAGGTTTCCAGAAGCTTCCTCTCCCGGTCCTGCCACCTTCTACCACCACTCGTGGGATTCTCCAGCGTAGATCAAGGCTCAAGGCTCAAGGCTCAAAGTCAAGTTTCCGATGTTAGCATTCGCGACGCAGACACACACGGCTGCGCACACACCAGTGGGTGCCTGTCCTTCCTTCAGCCCTGCCCTTTCTTTTTGCTGACTTCTCAGGTGTGCCCTGTAGCAGATGCCAGCGGGTTTGGTTAAATCATTTCTTATCCTGGTTTCCAGGGCACTGTAGTGGGGCCCTGGCAGAAGCAGTGGGAGGGATGGAGGCCCCCTCCCGCCACCCTGGTTCTTGGAAGAGGAGATGTTTACGTGGAAGGGCTGGCCTGGGGTGCCCAAAGACGGAGCCCAGGTTGGGAGTGGCGGCAGAACCTGTGGAAGAGGTGAAGACTACAGCCCTGGAGCGGAGATGGGCCCGAGGAACTGCGGACCCAGCAGCCTGGCTGTGCATCTCCGGTTGCCCAAGAGCAGATAACCCGGGTTACATAACTCGGCCCTTTCCGCCTCCTCGATCTGCTCCTAATTTTAGCAACCGAAATTCCACTCCCCCACAGGGATCTTCCTCCATCCATTCTGCCTCTCTCTCTTCCTCCCCCAGCATCCTCTTGGTCCTCCAGCCCCAGCCGCCCCCAACTCAGCTCATTCAGTGACTCAGCAAAGGGAAAGCCCTGCGCTGGGGAGAGGGGGCGTTAAAGGGGGAGGAGGATGTGGTTCTGCCTGGGGAGTTGGGGGGGAGGGAAACTGGTTTTGTTCCTTTTTCGCCTCTGTTCACATCTGTTTCTCCAGCTGCGACTGCAGAGTGGACAGGATCCCAGCAGAGGGAGGGAGACTGGAGGGCAAAGAGGGCCTTCCTGGGGCTGACCATGAGGGTGGGCAAGCAGGGGCTTCTCCTCTCCAGCGGAGGGTCCGCCTTGGCGCGCCTGTGCGTGCTGCAGCTGTGCGGGAACTGCGGGTTTCAGCGGGCAGGCAGGAAAGGAGATGTTGAATGAGTGATGCAAACCACAGTGATGGAAAAAGGCATGAGGAGACACTGGGAGTGCGACGTGAACCAGGTCTTATTAGGAAATGGCAGTCAAGGATCCGCGGTCGAGGGCCACACCCCCACGCGCTCCGACTGGTTTCGCTTCCACCCCGTATCCTCGCGCAGCGTCTGTCTCTGGCAACGCGCCGACCCCATCCCTGGTCCGATCCTTCCTCCGCCCAGCCCTGAGACTGCGGCCCACAGTTTGTTGACCTTTCCTTAGGGTTCACTTGAGGGCCTCCGCGTGGCGATTGAGGGCCTGAGAAAGGGCTGTCACAGCTCCCATCACGCGGCCCAGCTCCCAGGTCTCAATCTGGTTCCGGAATCGCTGTAGGAAGCGGTCGGGGTGCCAGCGGACCTGCTGCACCCGTAAGTACCTCCTGAGAGCCCCCTGCTCCTCCAAGGGGGGCCCTCTGGCCACCAGGGCTGCAGCCATGGCCTCAGGGTCCCCGCCCCCAGGGCAGGGCCAGGGCACATCACTGAAGCGCCACAGGCTGCCCCTCCCTGCCCCTCTAGGGGGCTCTGCCCTGGGCCTGGCCCTGGCCAGCTCTGGCTCTCGGTCCCCCTGGGCCTCCTGGGCCCTCCTGGCTCGGCTCTCACGCAGTTCCTCCTCCTTGGCCCGGGCTCGTTCTCGGAAGAGCCGCTGCTCCTCCTCCTGCTGTCGCCAGCTGTGACTGGAGCCCTCGGCCCGCGGGGGTCGCCGGGATCTCCCTGCCTCCTGCTGCTGCTGGCGCTTCTGGGCGTGCTCCCGGGCCAGGCGATCTGACCAGGCTGAGAAGGACTCGGGTTCCTGGGTCTCACGGGCAGCATCATCTGTCAGGGGTGGGGGTTGGAGAGGGGCTGTGAGAGGGGCCGGGGCCCAGAGGCAGGCGCGCGCAGAGGAGGGGGCGCAAGGCAGTGGCCTCCTCACCTTCAAACCTCCCGATGACCTCCTGCCACTCGTCTTCCAGCTCGCCCTGCAGCTTCTGCCTCCATTCCCGCTCCTTGGAAGCCTCATCTTCTTCCTCCTCTTCCGTGGAATCCCAGGGGGGTCCCCAGCCCAGGATCTGCCCAGGGGTCTCTCCATCCTTATTCTTTATTCCCATGGCGGAGGGACAGCGGCTCAGCAGTGGCAGGAAGAAGTCTGTGTAGGCTGTGTGTGGGACAGCAACAAGCAGGAGTCAGCCGGGACTCAAGGCCCTGGCAGGGGCGCCATTCTGAATCCCACCCCCTGCCTGTCACCCATTTTCTTGGTCTTAGCCTTAGCAAGATGGGAAGGGGGGCCCACACAGATGCCTCCTGGGAACCAGGAAGTAACCACCCCTGACAACTGTGTCCTCATGTTTTACCACATGCATGGCAGGTGTGGTAGTTGAAGACACTCTGCCCTGTGTCCCCACCAACTGTTGCAGTGTTCTGGAAGTTCCACCAATGCAAATGGCATTTTCCAGTTCTGCCTCAAGGCATCTAGGGCGGCATCAGAATCCACTGCTTATTCTATTGTTGGCTTGAAAATACTGTCACTGCACAGCCCTCGTGTCTCTCACCCAAATCTACGCAGCAGACTGGTAAAATACAACACGCCAGTCTGCACCACTACACACACATACACACACGGAGATTCGTCTGCTTTATATCCCTTTTCCATAAACTCAATAAAATAAATGCTTTCAAGGGCATCCCTCTCAGCCAGCCTTAGTAGGGCATGTTGGAGGGGTGGGCCAGTAGCTAGCCAACAGCCCAAGCTCTTCCAAAGGCCTGCTGCCCTGGGGCAGGGGGAGGGGTGGGGACAGAGGGTCTCATTCAGGAGCTGGGAGGAAACAGCCAGGGGCTGACAGTCCTGAGCTCCAGGGTTAGCCATGCCACCGGAGGCCCACCTGCTGTGGCCACCAACCACCCCCCTCACTCAGGGCACAAGGAAGGGGCGGGAGCAGCCTCCCTTCCTGTGGACCTACTTTCTCTCCCTGGGGAGGAGGAAATGGGCCAGCAGTCTTTCAGCCTTTATTGGGTGGTGCTCGAAAGCACTGCTGACCTCGGTGAAGGATGGCACAGGTTGACCTGTCCCTGCCAGCAAGGCAGGAAGCCAGGGCGACCAAGGCCGCTCCCCGCACCTAACCCGCGTCAGTGCCAGGAGCAGGCGCATGGGCTGGGACCTGCCCCAAGTCCTCCCCAAACCAGCAAATACCTGGTCCTGTCTTTCAAGTGCTCGTTCCCCCGACGGGGCTCACGGCAGCTGTGAGGGAGGGGTGTGCTCAGGCTTGTAGGGCAGATTTCAAATTCCTAGGTTTTTAAAAGAGGAAGGCCTCCAGCTATGGAAGTGACCAGTAAGATAAGGTACAGAGTAAATACTAAACGGCCTGCACAAAAGATATGCTGTGGAAACAAGCGGACTATAAAACTGTATACAGGATCTAAGCAACTGTCATTAAAAAGGGGGGGGGGACACCAAATCCTATGCTTGAAAAAACATGAACTAGAAAGAAATCAGTAAAAACTCTAGTTTCTGAGTGGTAGGATTAGAGGCTCTCCTTCCAACTTTATCTGCTATTTTAATTTGAAGGGGATGTAATTGAAACTTTCTTCTCTTTATGAAGAAAGAATAATGAATTTGTCCACTAACAGTAGATTGCTGTGGTCTCTACCAGTCCGGTCTTGGTGTACATAAACACGCGTGGCACTGTTCAGAGACCTATGACCATACTGCATGTACTGTTCAGCAACCTGCTTTTTAAAAAAATACATTCATTTACTTATTTGGGACTGAGAGAGACAGACAGACAGACACACACACATACACACAGTTCCTATCCACAGGTTCACTTCCCAAACAGCCGCATGGCTGGGACTGGGCCAGGACAGAGCTGGGAGCCAGGAGCCCAGCTGGCCGGGATGTAAGCACCTGAGCTGTCTGTGCTGCCTCCCAGGGCACAGAGGAAGGTGCGCATTAGTGCACAGCTGGAGTCGGGCTGCAGCTGTGACTCGAACCCAGGCCCTCTGCTTTGGGATGCGGTGTTTCACTGGCATCAGAACCACTAGGCGAAACACCGTGTCTGTCTTTTTTCCACAGGAATATATACAGTCTACCTCACTTTTTTTTTTTTGATGACTGCGTGGTTAAGTGTTCCACTGTGTGTGCAAAACAAACAGATCTCCTCGCCACCAATTGACAGCCCGTGTTTCCAAAACTGTTCGGCGTCCTACGTGCGTCTTTGAGGACTTGTCCAACATTTGTGCAGAGCACATTTTCAAAAGTGGAACTTTTGAGTCAAAGAAAATGTACACTTTTGCAAACTGCGTTCAGTAAGATTCTGCCAAGAATGTATAAGCATGCCTGTGGCTTCCTTTACTGAGACTAAATATAATCAACCCTTTAATCTTGCCAATCGGATAGATTAAAAATGATTTTACTAATGAAGCTTTCTTCATTTTCATATATATATATATATTTGCTATTTGTATTTTCTGTGAATGACTCAAATTCTTTTCCCATGGAAATTATTTATATCAATGAGACTTCTTCATATTGTGTGTTTTATATGTATCTATATAAATATTTTCTGCCTGATATATATATATATATATTTTTTTTCCTTTCTTATGTATCTTTTAAAGTTGTTAGGGGAACAGACATTGTTTGGGAGGCCCGATGATAATGTTTGCAAGCATCTGGGGAGTGATACAGTGGATGGAAGAGCTCTCTCTGTCTCTTTGGCCTTTCAAATACAATGAAAATAAATAAAAATATTTAAAAAAATTTTTATGTAGCTAAATATCTCAATATTTTCTTTTTAGATTTTTTATTCCATTTCATTTTATTCTTAGGTTATCTTCATTCTAAGATTATAAAATATTCCCTTGTTTTATTTAAAAACTAAAAAATTTATTTATTTTGGAGCCAGCGAGACGGAAAGATCTCACCTACTAGTTCACTCCCAGATGCCCACGGGGGTCAGGGCTGGGCCAGGATGAGGCTGTTAGCCGGAAGCTCAGGCTGGGCCTCCCACATGGGTGACGGGAACCCAACTACTTGAGCCACCGCCTGCTGCCTCCCAGCCTGTGCATTAGCAGGAAGCTGGAATCAGGAGTGGAGCGGGGACTCAAACCCAAGCACTCCAGCATAGGGGTCTTAACTGCTAGGCCAAATACCACTCCTATTTTTATTTTTAAAAATTAAAAAAACTGGGGCTGGTGCTGTGGTGCAGTGGGTTAATGCCCTGGCCTGGGGCACCAGCATCCCATATGGGTGCCGGCTGCCCCACTTCTGATCCAGCTCTCTGCTATGGCCTGGGAAAGAGGTAGAGGATGGCCCAAGCCCTTGGGCCCCTGCACCCATGTGGGAGACCTGGAGGAAGCTCCTGGCTTCGCCCCGGCCGTTGTGGCCAACTGGAGAGTGAACCGTCAGATGGAAGACTTCTCTCTCTGTGTGTGTGTGTGTAACTCTGACTTTCAACTAAATAAATCTTAAAAAAAAAAAAAAAAAGAAAAAAAGAAAAATTAAAAAAAAAAAAACCTCAGGGGCAGGCAGCAGGTAAGCTGCACCTGGGATGCCTGAATCCCCTGCTGGAGTGTTCTCCTGAGTCCTGGCTACTCTGCCTTCGGTCTGGCTTCCTGCTGACATGCAACCCAGAAATCAGCAGCCAATGGCACAGCACTTGGGTCCCTGCCACCCACATGGGAGACCCAGAATGAGTTCCAGGCGCCTGGCTTCCACCTGGCTCAGCCTTGGAGAGTGAACTAGTGGATGGAAGATCTCTGTCCATTTCTCTTTCAAATAAAATGAAAATACTTTTGAGATTTCAAAAATTCAAAAAAAGTACCAAGTGTTGAATAATAAACACCTCTGTTCCTATCACAGGGTATATTGATATGCTGACATTTGTAAAACATTTTATGTTTTTAGGTAGTCAAACATTTATTCATTTGAGAGAGAGAGAGAGAGAGAGAGAGAGAGAAACTCCTCCATCTGCTGGTTTACTCCCCAGACACCTGCAGTGGTCAGGGTTGAAGCCCAGAGCTCAGTACTCAGCCTGGGTCTCCACGTGTGTGGCAGGGACCCAATTCCTTGAGTCACCTTTGCTCCCTCCCAGGGTCTGTACCAGCAGGAAGGTGGGGTCGGGGCCAGAGGCAGGCATGGAAGCCAGGCACTTCAATCTGGGACATGAGCATCTTACCTGGAGGCCCAGTGCTCACCCCACATTCTATTTTAAAGGAATTAAACCCTAAGAGATAAAACTGTCCAAACCACCTTCCAAGCTTTATTCACCCCTCCCCCGCAGGGCAACCCTGCTTATGAATTTGGTGCGTAGCTTCCTGTCACATTTAGATGCTGAATCTGCTAGAATTTACTTTTGAGTTGGGTAGGACTCTTCCCCTAGGTGAGCCAAAATTAAAAAAAATTTTTTTAATTTATTTGAGAGCTGGAAGAGAGGGAAGGTGGGAGAGAGAATGAGAACAAGAGCTCCTATATGCTGGTTCACTCCCCCAATGGCCACAACAGCCAGGTCTGGGCCAGGAGGAAGTCAGTTCAGGTCTCCATAGGAACGCAGTTACTTCAGCCCTCACTGCTGCCTCCCAGCGTCTACACTGGCAGGAATCGGGGTGGGAGGCAGAGTGAAATTCTGATGCAGGCATTTTAACCGGTGTCTTGACTGCTAGGCTGCATGTTCACCCCCCATGTTGTTTACGACCTACTTCTTAGCCCTCCAGTATGTGAAATGCCATCTTGGCACAGCTGGCACTGTGGCTTAGGGGGTAAAGCCACTACCTGCAGAACCAGCATCCACATATGGGCGCCGGTTCGAGTCCCAGCTGCTCCACTTTCAATCCAGCCCTCTGCTATGGCTTGGGAAAGCAGTGGAAAATGGCCCAGTCTTTGGGCCTCTGGACTTGTGGGAGACCTGGAAGAAGCCCAGGCTTCGGATTGGCCCAGCTCCAATGGAAAAATGGAATTAAAAGATAGGCTTATTTTGGGGTAAATTTTTTTTAAATCTATGCAGTTTTTTCATATAGTGTTTTCTATGAACTTTTGAAGGCCCTCCCCATATGCTGTGCTTTAAAAAATTATTTGTTTTTATTTATTTATTTGACAGGCAGAGGGGAGGGGAGGGACGGAGGGGGAGGGAGAGAGAGAGACAGAGAGGTATCTACCATTTGCTGCTGGTTTATGGCCCAGATGCCCACCACAGCCAAGGCTGGGCCAGAGTAAAACCAGTAGGCCAGCACATAGTCCAGGTCTCCCGTGTGGGTGGCAGGGACCCAAGTACTTGAGCCTTACCTGCTGCCTCCCAGAGTGTGCATTAGCAGGAAGCTGGACGCAGCAGTGGCGCTGGGACTTGAACCCAGGCCCTCCATATGGGATGTGGGTGCCCCAAGCAGCACTCAATTGCCCCACCCCCTGCTGTACTTTCAATGGGAAAAAATAAATATGAAACAAACTCTGTGGAGGAAAACTTCATTCTGTCTCAGGGATGGCAGCACTGCTCTCCCCTAAGCCACAATAAGCCATGGTTTTCACCTTTAAGGGACAGGCGAACTAACTGGCAAAAAGAACAGTTTCTGAAAATGCCAACCTCCAAGGCTTATGAGTGAACGCAGAGGCTCTCGGGAAGAAAAGGTCACAGCGGCTGAGGTGGTCCGAGAGGCCTTCCTGGAGGAGGTGGGGCTGGTGCTGGGCTGGGCGGCAACACTGAGCGAAGTGGAGATGAGGTGACAGGCAAGCAAGCAGCAGGCTTGCGGCAGGCGAGTCTCGGTGGCTGGAGTCGCAGGTCTGTGGGTGTGCAGTGGGAGGTGAGGCTGGAAAGCAGAGTGGAAGGTCTGGATGGCTCAGCCACTGCAGAAACGGGGTCATCGCTCACTTGCTTTGCAGACTCAAGTGCGTAATGGGTGCTCAACGTCTGGTCCCGTGTGGGCACGGAGCAGAAATGCAATGAATGCTACGCTCACAGAGAGGACCAGCCTGGCCTGGCTTTAGTCTCCTGGCAGACGGTAGAACACCACGCTACTTCTGAGTGTTCACGGATCTTGCTCTGTGCAGAGAATGGTGACTGTCTGACTAAGGTGTGTTTATGCGGGGTCTCTACCAGCAAAGACCACTTCCCCATGAAGCCATGGGTTCTAGAAAGAAGTCACCAAAAGCCCCATGGGGGCTGTTCCCTGGCATCTTACTGGCTGTGGTAACCCAGCCCAGCCACTCCCGCAGGACTGGCACATGCCTCGCACTCTACAAGGGAACTCAGAGGGAAACTCCAAGGGTGGATTCTGGCTCATTTGATCTGCTCCATGGAGACAGCTTCATTGTACCAAGCCAGGGTGGTCTCAAAAGTGGCTGGAAATGGAATGAGCTGGGCTTTCAGCCTCGGAGTTAAAGGCCACCCGGAGGCAGGGCTGACAGAGGACCAGGAGGGTGTAAGGCCTGCGAGGACGCCAGGGTTTGAGAGGGGGAGCAGGGGGCAAGGACCTCAATCAGCTCCGAGATTTCAGACAAGTTTCTGAAGCTACTGGGGCCGACCTTCCTTGTCTGTAAACAGGATATAATAGCAATCTCACATGCTTCTTGGAATTTAAACAATGATGGGGTGAGCAATGTGGCCCAGTGGGTTAAGCTACCACCTGTGATGCTGGCTAGCATCCCATATGAGCACTGGTTTGAGTTCTGGCTACTCCACTTCCAGTCCAGCTCCATGCTAATGCACCTGGGAAAGCATCAGAAGATGGCCCAAGTATTGGGGCCCTGGCACCCACAAAAGAGACCCGGATGGAGTTCTGGGCTCCTGACTTTGGCCTGGCCTAGCGCTGGCTGTTGGAACCATTAGGGGAATGAACCAGCAGATGGAAGATTTCTCTTTTTCTCTGTCTCCCTCTCTGTTACTCTGCCTTTCAAATAAATAAGAAAATAATTTTTTAAAAAAGAAAGTCTTAAAAAACAAAGTTCAGTTCCCAGAGTGTCTCTGCGTTTCAGAACAGCGAGTCTGGGACCTGCTGATGGCAACAGAAACAATCACCAGAATCCACAAGTGCTTACCATGGGCCGGGCGCTCCAGTTACAGCCGTCCACAGATTCCTGTAGGCGGCTGGTTCCAGGATACCAGCTGGACACCAAAACCTACACATGCTCAAGTCTCTTCTATAAAATGCCATAGTGTTTACATTTAACCTATGCATGTACTTTAAATCACCTTTAGATTATTTAGGACAGGAGTGAGTGTTTGACATAGTGGTTAAGAAGCCATTCTGGGACACCCACATCTCATATTGGGGTGCCTTGGTTGGAGTCTCAGCTCCACTTCTGATTCCAGCTTCCTTCTAACACGCACCCTGGGGGGCAGCAGGTGATGGTTTGAGTACCTGGGTCCCTGTCACCCATGTGGGAGATCTGGACAGAGTTCCAACTCCTGGCTTTAACCTGTCCTAGCTCTGGCTGTTACAGGGATTTGGGAAGTGAAGCAGTGGGTGGAAGATCTCTCTCTGCTGGTCTGTTTCTCTTCCTTTCAAATAAATAAAACATAAAACAAAAACAAACAAAAAACTAGGGGGATGGCATTGTGGTTTAGCAGGTTAAACTTCCACCTGTGACTCTGGCATCCCATATAGGTGCAGGTTTGAGAACTGGCTACTCCACTTCTGGTCCAGCTCCCTGCTAATGACCCAGGAAAGCAACAGAAGATGGCCCAAGTGCTTGGGCTCCTGCACCCACGTGGGAGACCTGAAAGAAGCTCTTGGCTTCGGCTTGGCCTAGTCCCAGTCATTGTAGCCATTTGGGGAGTGAACCAGCAGATGGAAGATCTCTCTCTCTCTCTCGCTCCTTCTCTGTAACTCTGCCTTTCAAAAAAAAAAAAAAAAAAAAGTTGAGCGAGAAAAAAATGCAATATAAATAGAAATAAATAGTTGTTAAACTGTATTGTTTAGGGGATAGTGAAAAGGAAAAAGTCTGTCAGATGCATTTTGATTTTTTGACTATGTTAGCTTCACAGCTTGTTGAATTCATGAATATAGAACCCACAGGTATGAAGTGGAGAGCAGACTATACTGTGTCATACACTCTCAATACGTATATGATTCTTAAACCACGTATGTCCCAGCACGGGCACTCTGAACTCTGTGAACAGCCAATCACTGCAGTTCTATGAAGTGTAACTCAGGCCAACGTAGCTGTCAAGAGCGTGGACACTCCAGCCTGGGTTGTGATCCCTGGTGAGTGCCTGGCTATGTAACTCTGGCAAAATGACCTCACTTCCCTGCGCCCAGTTTCAGAATCTAGAAGTGAGGGCTAATGGCAGCATCTACCGTACAGTCCTGTGTGAGGACAAAAAAAAAAAATTGCTTTGTGAGGCACCTGGCATTTCGCTCATTTTGCAGGTAGACAGATTAAGCTTCGGGAAGTTTCAGAACACAACACACAGCCAATAGGAGCGAGGGTTTCTGGGGTGGGGGTGGGGTTGTGGCATGGTGGGTTAAGCCAAACCTCCAGATGTCAACATCCCGATTCCAGCCCTGGCTACTCTGCTAATGACCCAGCTCCCTTGCTAATGTGCCTGGAAAGCAGTGGATAATGGCTTAAGAACTTCATCCCTGCCACCCAGGTGGGAGATCAGGGGGGAGTTCCTGCCTCCTGGCTTCAACCTGGTCCAGCCCTAGCCATTGTGGCTGAACATGGAAGATCTCTCTCTCTCTCTCTCTCTGTCACCTTGTCTTTCAAAAAAATAAATAACTCATTTTAAAAAAACAAGAGCTGGGATTTTCCAGGCAATCTAATTTCCAAGTCTACCTTCTTTGCTACTTTTTGTGCTACAGGCAAACAAGTCCAAAAAACCCCCCAAAGTAGCTCCTAATCTAGGAAGCTGTGACATTTAAAGACCAGCCGTTTGGGAGGACGGTTGGGCTCTCACACAGCACAGCGCAGAAATGTCAAGGCACACACGACAGCCACGCGCCAGCTCTGGTCAGCTGCGCCCCTCCGGCTCTCACTTCTCAGCTCTGGGTGGGCTTTCAAGGGGCAGGCCTGGTGGGCTGCCCGCGAGCTGGCTTCCCCTGGGCAGACTCACCATCGGGGCCCTGGCGGGCAGCGGCGTGCAGGGCCGTGTCCCCGTGGCGGTCCTGGTGCGCAGGGTCGGCCCCGAGCCGCAGCAGCAGGCACAGGGCAGGGGCGTCGTGGCGGGCGCAGGCCCGGTGTAGGGGTGGCGGCTGCCCGGCGTCTACATCGAGGCCCGGGTGTCGCTGCAGCAGGGCCTGAGCCCGGACCAGCCGGCCGGCGGACAAGTACCGACGGAAGCGACGCTCTCGGCGCTGGCGGCGCGAAGCGGAGGCCATGGCACTCTTGGGCTGAGGAAGAAGGAGAAAAGGCGGCGATCAGGACCCCAGGCGCGCCCGTCCCCCCTCACCTCTGATGCCCGCTCCTGCCTCCCTCGATGTCCCCCTTTCTCCTCAGATCTCCAGCAAACCACCCGACCCGAGGCCTGCCCTGGCCCTCATCCCTCCCCAGATGACAGTCAGGCTTGGAACAAAAAAATTTGGAATGGGACTGGAGGCACAGACTTAATTTTTTTCACATAAATTTTGAGAAAAGGATGTCTCGCTGCTTCAAGGCTCATGAGCCCAGGTAAAATTTTTCATAAAGCATAAAAAAAAATAGGGCCGGATGGGGGCAATTTTGAGCAGAAATTTGAATTTTAAAAAGTCACAATTTTAAAGACTGATTTAGAAAGCGAATATAGTGTACCCGGCAGACAGATGTAGAGGCTTCTCCCTCTGGGACCTGGGGGGAGGGGTTACTCATCAGACCTGTCCCCCGCCCCCCAAGTACCCCCAGAGCGGTAGGCCCAAGGCCTGAGTTTAAGACGCTCGGAGAAGGGAGGCGGGAAGGGCGGAGACACGCCAGGCTGCGGGAAATGACGTAAAGACAGGCGTAGGCGGAGGGCGGAAATGAACGCTGAGGAGCCCTACCGGATGGCGTTCTGCCCTGACCGGGAGTTTCTCAGTCCGGCCTCCGGGGGGAAACTAGGGAACTTAAGTAACTGTTCCGCTTGAAACCAAAAGACTTGAATGAGAGGCTAAGAAAAAGAGGCGAGGCGAGAGCCGGGAGAGATGAGGGCTATTTGGAGGTTTATCCCCGCGTTTCTCAACCAGGAGAGAGGGCGGCGGTTCAGTGATAGAGGGAAAAATGAGAAGAGAGAAAACAAGGCAGGCAATGACAGGATAAAACCCACAGTGAAAACGGAAAACATAAAACCACAGTGAGGCCAAGAACAGGGACAAATCCAAACAGAGAAAAAGACATCAGGAGACAACCGTAGGACGGTGCAGATGAAATGGATGCGGGCGTTTGGATTTGGAAATCGTGGGGCAAGGCTGAGAGGGAAAAGCTGGGGGAATTAGAAGGCCAGCATACTCTCTTTCCGAAGATGACATCCCTACCTTTTCATCCCATTCTCAACTCCTTTAAGTGTCCTCCTCAGAGACCACCTCAAGCTCTCCTCCCACCCCGAAAGCCCTCGGGTCCCCGCGCCTGTGCGCATCCCTAAACCTGAGCGACCGCAAGGCCCTGCACCTGCTACGGCGGGCGCGCGGCTTGGCGCTTGGTCTCTGCTGCCCCCAAGCGGCCTTTCTGGGTACTGCCCGAGCGAGAGGTGGAGAGGACCTGTCATCAGCCCGAGGATCAGACTGGGGGGAGACACCCGGTGCGGCAGGCTGGGCGAAAAGGGGGAGCACTAAGACCCAGGGGTAGCTGAGGACTGCAGCAACGAGCTGGAGGAGGCGAAACCGGCGCTGGGGGTGGGAGCCATCTGGTACCTCGGTAGCCTACAGAACAGCACCAGCACTCAGGACAGAAATGGCCAGCCAGTCCCAGGGTATCCAACAGCTCCTGCAAGCTGAGAAACGGGCCGCGGAGAAGGTGGCGGATGCCAGAAAGAGTGAGCCTACTCCCCCTTCCCTTAGGGGTCTAGGGAGAAAGTGGAGGAGGGGAGCAGCAAACGTTGGGGTCCTTGGGAAAACCCAAGCCTGGTGGGCGGCGAGCTGGGAGCTGGAGGCTGGGTCGGAGAGAGAAGGCAGAACTTTCTGGAAGGGACTGGCTCCTACCATCACTTTTTGGGGGGGGGGGGTTCACCCTGGTCCCCCTGCACCCTTTTCTGCTTTCAGGGAAGGCCCGGCGGCTGAAGCAGGCCAAGGAGGAGGCGCAGATGGAGGTGGAGCAGTACCGTCGGGAGCGGGAGCAGGAATTCCAGAGCAAGCAGCAGGCTGTGAGTTGCGGGGGAGCTGGGATGGGGACCTGCGCCCCCACGGCGAGTGCATCTAATGAGGGGTGTGCGGGTGACTCACCCAGGACATCAGGTGGCAGAGGGTGCAGGGGACCACGACGCTGGTCAAGCTCTGTGACGCCTAGGAGGGCCTGGGAGCTTGTGCCGCGCGGTGGATTATCGAGGTCCCTGTGGAGTAGGATGGCGTCTGGGGTGGGGGGTGGTGTTTTAGGATGAAGCGCCTGTCGGGGCTTAGAGAAGACGGGATTTGCTGGGCGGGGGTTGGTTTAGAAGACGGGATTTGCTGGGTGGGGGTGGTTTTCTGTTCTCGGCCTTGCTCCAGGCTATTTCCCTCCACGCGCCTGGATCCTTCTTTCTTTCCGCTTTCTCCTTTCTCTCTTCTACCCCTTTCCCCAACCCCCTCCTCCCCAGGCCATGGGCTCCCAGGGGAACCTGTCGGCTGAGGTGGAACAGGCTACGAGGCGCCAGGTGCAAGGCATGCAAAGCTCCCAGCAGAGAAACCGTGAGCGTGTCCTGGCCCAGCTGCTTGGCATGGTCTGTGACGTCAGGCCCCAGGTCCACCCCAACTACCGGATTGCTGCCTAGAACCCACCGTCCGGCCTGGCTCCTTCCGCCAGTTCCCTCCCTCAAAGGGATCCCTCAAATCAGCATCACCTCCCACTTCTGTTCCCTGGAGATTCTAGGAGGCAGGACCTAGTAATTGTCCTGTGAAACCTGCACTTCCTGCTCTGGCCTGCATCTCCCTGATGCTCTTTAACCCTCACTGGGACATTGTCAGCTTCCACGTCACACTGACCTGAACCCTGTCGTCAAATCCGTTTCATGGAGAAGTAGAGATGTGCAAAACACACTGACTGCATAGCCTGCAGATCTGGGCCCCTCGCCCGACCCTGCCACCTGCTGGCTGTGCCGCTGGGATCAGCTCCTTAACCTGGTAGCTCGTGCCCCTCGGTGGAACTGGAGTAAGAGCAAGGCCTGCCGTGTGCGGCTGTCGCAGTGTTGAGTCCTTTTGAGAGCCTGCTGCCTGACCTGTAAGAGCCGCGATTCTATAAAGGGCAACCCTGTGACAGTCTCCCCAACCCTTGCTCATCTGCTAGAACCTAAACTCAGCTGTTCCCTCGCGTCTGCCCGTCTGTCCGTGCCTGATTCTGCACATGCTGTTACGCTCGCTGGTGATTCTCTGCAGACTGGGTTTTCACCAGCTCTTTTCCCAAAGAACCTTAGGCCCTGTGGGCAGAAGGAATGATGACCTCATTCAGCCCCTCTGTCACGGCTCCAGGGGGGCGGTCTGTATCTCATCAGCTGCTCACTGCTTCTGGGATCTAAAGCAACGATGCACCCCCCCCCCATGCATGGCCTCCTCCTCACGCCCTCATCTTTGTAACAGTTAACAATTAAGTCAATAAAATAAGTATGGTTGAACAACTGATGAGTCAAAGCAGCCTCCTTCCTCAATGCAGTCATCCCTTGTTCCCTACTCATGTACCCCAAATACTCCAACAGGCTGTCCTTTGAAACTTGAAGGAACAAAAGCAAGTTGCACTTTATTATTTCTCTAAAGTGCGAAACGTGTGGAAGCTAAAGACTATAAGATGGTTACTGCAAGAGAGAAGCTGGCATGAAGGAACGAGCACTTTTTTTTTTTTTTAATTTTTTGAAAGGCTAAGAGAGAGAGAGAGAGAGATTTTCTGTGGACTGTTTCATTCCCTAAATGGCCACAACAGCCAGGGGCTGGACTGGGCTGAAGCCAGGAGCCAAGAATGCCATCTGGGTCTCCCACACGGGTAGCAGGGACCCCAGAACTGGAGCCATCAGCAGCTCTTCCCAGGCTCATTAGCAGGGCGCTGGATTGGAAGTGAGGAGCTGTGTTGTGACACAGCAGGTTAAGCTGCTGCCTGCAACGCCCTCACCCGTATCAGTCCCCAGTGCTCCTCTTCCAATCCGGCGCCCTGCTAATGCGCCTGGCAAAGCAGTGGAAGATGGCCCGAGTATCTGGATCCCTGCACCCACGTGGGAGACCCAGAAGAAGCTCCTGGCTTCAGCCTGGCCCAGCCTGAGCAATTGCAGCCATTTGGAGAGTGAACCAGTGGATGCATGATATCTCTCTCTCTCTGTCTGACTCTCCTTTCTCTGTCCCTCTGATTTCCAAATAAATTTAAAAAAAGTAAAAAAAAAAAAAAAGAATAAATCAATTAAACTGTATTTAGGGTAGGGAAAACCGTCCTATGACACATCTTTGGATCGGTCGTTTCTCTTCACCACAGAAGACAAACTTGCTTCACCGAAAACGTGACCCAATGAGATAATCCTTAGTGTTATTTACCAGATTTACTTTTAAAAATTTATTTATTTTCTTTTGAAAGGCAAAGAGACAGAGACAGGCAGACAGAGATTTTCCACCCACTGGTTCACTTCCCAAATGCTTGCAACAGCGAGGGCTGGACCTTGCCAAAGTCAGGAGTTCAAGCTGATCATATCCTACGTGTGTGGGTGGAGGGACCCGGCCGCTGGAGCCATCATCAGCCGCCTTCCGAGGGATGCACCAGCAGGAAGCTGGACTTTGGAGCCGAGCCAGATGTCAGTCTGGGCACTCAGACATGGTAGGCGGGCTCCAGTCACCTGTGCCAAAGGCCTGGCTCCTATTTACCAGGCAGGGAGGCAGAATAGAGAATTAGAGGTGTTTACTTCCTGTCACTTTACTTCTGTTTTGCTTGTCTGCAATGGTAATTGACTAATGGTATCTACTCCCTATTGTTAAGTGTGCTAACAGGGAGATGCCAAAATTCTTGGCTATCACTTTTTTTTTTTTTTTTAAGCAGCAGGACATTGGCATCTGCAGACTCTCACAGAGGGGGATGACACACGTTTCCTTCTGGAACAAAAGTCCAGGATGAGCAACAGGGCTGTTAGGGTGGGGCTAAGAACATTCTGCTTGAATTTTTTTTTTTTTTTGACAGGTAGAGTGGACACTGAGAGAGAGAGACAGAGAGAAAGGTCTTCCTTTTGCTGCTGGTTCACCCTCCAATGGCCGCCGCAGCTGGTGCGCTGCGGCCGGCGCACCGCGCTGATCCGATGGCAGGAGCCAGGTACTTATCCTGGTCTCCCATGGGGTGCAGGGCCCAAACACTTGGGCCATCCTCCACTGCACTCCCTGGCCACAGCAGAGAGCTGGCCTGGAAGAGGGGCAACCAGGACAGAATCCGGCGCCCCGACGCAAGGCGACGCAAGACGGAGGATTAGCCTAGCGAGCCACGGTGCCGGCTTTGAATTTTTTTTTAAGATTTCTATTTATTCCACACAGCAGACTCATAGAATGACAATTGCTTTAAATAGCACTCTTAACTTCAGAAGCAGCCCTTAAGGCATTCTGGCCTGGCTGAAAAGCCCAGGAGAGCATTTTAGGCATGGACAGCCAAGACACTGTGGCAAAAAATGTCCTACATGAAGGACCTCATGGGTGAGACCCCAGTGGAAAGCAGGGACCATCAATGAAAGAGATATATTTTCTCTGAAGGGAGAACTTCCACTTTGCTTATGGTCCTGTGTAAATACTGACGGGGTCTGTGGATCTGAAAGGCTTCCATAGCCTAGGCAGCTCTTGTCAAGAGCCTCGGGTGATCACTGACGTCATACAGAAGAGTGTTAACCGTTAAATTAACAAGAGTCACCGTGTACTGTTCCCATGCAGGACCTCTGTCCTTAAAGAGTTGCATTATAATTATCTCTAAGTGCTCAAAAAAGATGTATCATTCTTGGGTGCTTCTTTAAAGTTAATCAAGTTTCTAAAACAAAAGTGAAATTGACTTCAAGATGTAGTGACTTTGAACAGCCCTTATCTGGACTGCTGAGGAATAGTTTTTTTTTCATGCAAATTGTTGAACTCTTTACTTAGAGTTGGTCTTCTGTGTACAGTTAGTTGAAAATGGATCTTAGTGGAGAATGGGACAGGGAGGAGAAGGAGGGGTGGGAGGGCGAGTATGGTGGGGAGAATAATATTCCTAAGGTTGTACTTCTGAAATGCATGAAGTTTGTATTCCTTAAATAAAAGCTTTCTTTGGAGGGAGGGAAATAAATAAATAAAATTTGTATTTATTTACTCGAGAGGTAGAAAGAGAGAAAGAGAGAGACAGAGAGAAAGGTCTTCCATCGGCTGGTTCACTCCCCAAATGGCTGTAACGGCCCGAGCTGGGCTGATCCAAAGCCAGGAGCTTCTTCCCGGTCTCCCACGCGGGTGCAGGGGCCCAAGGACTTGGCCATCTTCCACTGCTTTCCCAGGCCACAGCAGAGAGCTGGATCGGAAGTGGAGCAGCCTGGGCTCCAATCGGCGCGCATTTGGGAGGGCGGCGCCACAGGCGGAGGATTAGCTTACTACGCCGCAGCGCCGGCCCCCTGGATTAACCTTTATGCAAGGCTATATAACCCTCATTAACAGCTGGGGAGGAATCTGAGAGCCCTCGCTCACCAGCTCCGGGGCCTTGGCTACCTCGGCCAACGCTACTCCGGGCAAACGCCGTCGCCATCCCTCCGTGCACGGCTCACTCCCCCGGCCTCGGACCCGCCGCCCCGAGCCCCAGCCTAAGCCCAGACGCCCGCAGGTCACCTTGACTACAGCGCCGAGGACCCCGTGGGAACCCGCGGCCGCCGCCCCGCCTCGCCGCGCTCGTTCCCGCAGAGGCGTGCCCGGAGAGAAGACCTGCACGGCCAAGTCCTGAACGAAGAGGTGAGGGGCGTGGGCAGGGGTGCGACACGAGGAGAGCGGACAGCGGTCAGAGAGGGCTGTTTTCTTTCTGTCATGTGTGGCTGGCAGCAGCCGGGGAGTTAGAAGAGGCCCAGGAAGAACACCGCGGCAGACAGGCATTTCCCACAGCCAAGCCCGCAGCGCGCGGAACTGCAGACCCGCGGAAGGCCCTGCTTCCGGTCTCCTCGCGCCTGCGCCGTGGCGGGCGGGAAGGCGGGAGGCCGGAGTGGAGGGAAGCCGGGAACCGGAAGTGAAGGCAGATTCCCTCCTTCGTTGCTGTTGCCGCCGCCATACGCGCTCACCCTGCTCAGGTAAGCTTCGGCCTTCATTACCATCCGCCTCCATCTGCGTTTCTTTCTGGTTGTCCTGCCGCTTAGGCTCCTGATACCCCTTCCGTGGGCGTTGGTCTGGTCGCAGGGGCATGATGGAGTTGTTAGTTACACTGCTTTGAACCTTTTCGAGGGCAAAGAGCTTGGGCGGGGGAAGACGAGGAGACAAGGGAGGCCCAATCCAAGATGGTGGCTCCGGCGCCATTGTGTTCCCTTTGCTGCGGGCTCCGCGTGGGGGTCCCCCGCCAGCCTGAGGGTCCAGCGCCGACGCGCGGCGGCGGCGGCTTCTGGACGTTTGCGAAGGGCGTGGCTCTGCCCACCGTCGCGTCTCTCGGGGCCTCTTGCCCGCCGTGTGGGACCAGGAGGAGGAGGAGCCGCCCGTTTACGGGCCCAGTTGGGCCCTTGTTGGGAGCGCTTTCCCGGTGTCTCCGGGTGGCGCCGTTGTATGTCTCCCCAGGGGGTAGCGCCTCAGGGACGCGGTACCTCTTGGTAAAAATGCTGTTAGGGGAGACCTCCTGCTCTCGGTTCTGCTTCCCCCTTACCCATTGTGGGGTCCGGAGACGGAGCGCGTGTGCGCGCGCGAATCCCCTCCCCCCGTTAATTACACAGGATCCCTGAGCGCGGAGGCAGGGTGCTGAGGGCTGGGAGGCCGGCGAGCTGGGGGTCGTGTCTCGCAGCCACATGATGTTTTCGTTTTGAGGCGTGAGCGCTTGGCGCGCTGATGACCTTAATCTATCACCCTGGACTGATGGCTGCCGTGGGAGGAGTCAGTAGGCACAGCCCTAGGTTTGGCCTTGAGGGCTTTTCAGCACCTGGCTCCCACTCCCCTCAGTCCCATCACCTTCCCGGTATCCTTTTGTCTTCGCTGCTGTTGCTTACACAGCAGGAACTTGGAACTTGCCCTGCCCCTCAACAGCTAACTGGATTTCTGCTACCTTGCTCCTAAGGCTTGGTGGGAACCTGCGTCCCAGCCACGTCCCTTGAGCACTTTTCCCGTTTCCTCTCTTGCATTTGCTTTTCATATTTACATATGTGTTTCTAGTTCTGTACTGAAATTTTTTCCCAGATAAAAGGCATCATAGGGACAGGAGGAGAGTGTGGGGCTCAAAAAGGGTGGCGAAGGCCCTGCCTGTGACTGATACATCGGCCCTCTCTTCTTTTCCTAGCTCTTCCTCCAGAAACTGTCTTTGCCCGCCCGCTTCCCGCTTGCTTCCCCCCATTCTGCAAGAGTCGATCCTGAGACCCCTCCCCGCCTCCCCCCGCTGGCCCAGTGATGGCAGAGAACGACGTGGACAACGAGCTCTTGGACTACGAGGAGGATGAGGTGGAGACAGCAGCTGGGGGAGATGGGGCTGAGGCCCCTGCCAAGAAGGACGTCAAGGGCTCCTACGTCTCCATCCACAGCTCTGGCTTCCGGGACTTCCTGCTCAAGCCAGAGTTGCTCCGCGCCATTGTTGATTGCGGCTTTGAGCATCCATCAGAAGGTAAATTTTGGCTGGACGTAGAGTTCTCACTAGGCCCCGTGAGAATGAGACAAAGATGTAGTCGGGTTCTTCGGGCAGTAAGGGTTTATGTTTAGTACAAATAGGGAATTACCAGAAGCGATTTTAACAAGTTAGGGGTTTACACAGTCTGCTCTGTGGTGACGGCCTGGAGGTGCTGGTGGTCCAGAAGTGGCCTGGAGGCCTGCTGTTCCTTCCTGTGACGTGTCTCCTTTTCCTTGCTTGTTGTTAACTTTGTCATTTTGAGCTCTAATGTTAAATTTCCAGAAAGAGCCTGATTGCTGATTGCACCATTAGTTATTCTCTGTTTGGTCAGGCCAACACTGATCTCTGGAAACCTTTTTGGTCTAAAGATGGCTGACTTTTTTTTTTTTTTTTTTTTTATTTTATTTTATTTTTTTTGACAGGCAGAGTGGACAGTGAGAGAGAGACAGAGAGAAAGGTCTTCCTTTGCCGTTGGTTCACCCTCCAATGGCCGCCGCGGCCGGCGCGCTGCGGCCGGCGCACCGCGCTGATCCGATGGCAGGAGCCAGGAGCCAGGTGCTTTTCCTGGTCTCCCATGGGGTGCAGGGCCCAAGCACCTGGGCCATCCTCCACTGCACTCCCGGGCCACAGCAGAGGGCTGGCCTGGAAGAGGGGCAACCGGGACAGAATCCGGCGCCCCGACCGGGACTAGAACCCGGTGTGCCGGCGCCGCTAGGCGGAGGATTAGCCTATTGAGCCGCGGCGCCGGCCCAAGATGGCTGACTTCTGGGTCTGGTGCCAAGTCCCTTATTTTATTCAAGGTTGCTGGGTTTTATAACCCGAAGCCTGGCAGCCTAAAGTAAGAGAAATGGCCTGTGACTGGCGTTCAGGGGCCACAGGCTGTTACAGATGAAGGACAATAAGGACGGAACCAGGAGCGCTGGGAGTGAGCTGGTGCTAGTGCAGGAAGGTTCTTAATCAGAGTGTGGAGGCCAAAACCTGGGGGAGGCTAGAGTAGAAGGAACTAGCAGGGCTCTGGTGTCAGGATAGATGTAACTGAGGAAGCAGAGGCTGGAAATTGACCAAAACCAGGTAAATTTTCTGAGTTGAGTGTGAGAACTGGGTTTGGCATGGGGAAAGGTGGAGTTATGTAGAGGTCGAAGTTGATTTATCTTTCGTTGTTTCCTGTTTCCAGTCCAGCACGAGTGCATCCCTCAGGCTATCCTCGGAATGGATGTCCTGTGCCAGGCCAAGTCCGGCATGGGGAAGACCGCGGTGTTTGTGCTGGCCACACTGCAGCAGCTGGAGCCAGTTACTGGGCAGGTATATTTGGGGAGCGTGCTGGGGAAGGTGCTTTGGTTAGGCATACGTGGGAGGGTGTTTCTGTCCCAGCTGTGTTGTGCTTTCATAGCCTGGGTCCCCCCCAACTTTATTATTATTATTATTATTATATATTATTTATTTATTTATTTATTCATTTGAAAGAGAGGAAGAGACAAAGATCTTCCATCTGCTGGTTTACTCCCTAAACGGCTGCAACAACAGCCAGGGCTGAAGCCAGGAGTTTCTTCCTGATCTCCCATGTGGGTAGCATGGACCCAAGCACTTGGGCCATTCTTTGCTGCTTTCCCAGGCACATACTAGCAGGGAGCTGGATTAGAAGTGGAGCAGCTGGGTCTCTAACTGGTGCTCATGGGACGCTGGCAGGCAGTGGCTTTATCCGCTATCCCACAGAAGATGGAGACTGTCACCCTTGACAGTATGGGGGTGTGGTAGTAAGCTTGGGGCTGATCATTGAAATCTCAGAACCTAAGTTATTTGTGGTCTCCAGGTGTGCTTCTGTATTTCTTACTCTCCAAGAGGGCAACAAAGAGGCATATACACTGTATGTTTTCATGTAACCCTCTCTCCTCCCAGGTGTCTGTGCTGGTGATGTGTCACACTAGAGAGCTGGCTTTTCAGATTAGCAAGGAGTATGAGCGCTTCTCTAAGTACATGCCCAATGTCAAGGTAAGCAAGCATGGAGACGGACAGAGTGAATGGGGGTGTGGGTGGGGGTGGGCTTTGGGGACCTTAAAGTTTAGCTCAGCAGTGTGTATTACAGCTTATGTGAGAATCTCGGCATATGTGTAAGTGATGCTAAGTCCCTCAGGCTTCCAGTGTACAGGAGATCTTACTAAATCATAGGGCTCATTGCATATACATTATAATTCAAGAGATGCTTTGCTGCATTTTATTTTTGTAGAAGCCTTAGTTTGGCTTGGCTTAATGCAGTGTAAATACACCTGTTGGGTAGCAGAACTCACGATCACGCTCTGGATGCTGTGTACCACATGGCCATCCTCTTTTTGAAGTTTCTGTTTTTATTTGAAAGGCACTTGTGTGTATATGCATACAGATTTTCAACCAGGGACTCCGTATATGGGATGCGGATGTCCCATGTGATAGCTTAACCACTGTACCACGTGCCTAGCTGCCACCGTGCTTTCCTTACTAGTACTTATACCCGTTCACTTCACTGTGCTTTGAGAATTTTGGAGAGTGTAGCAAGAGGAAGCTGGAGGCTCTACAGGAATGGTGTATCTTTTTTGTTTGTTTTATATAGATTTATTTATTTGAAAGGCAGAGTTACTTAGAGCGAGGAGGAGAGAGCTTTCATTTGCTGGTTCACTCCCCAAAGGATCTGGGCCAGACTGAAGCCAGGAATTTCATCCGAGTTTCCCATATGGGTAGCAGGGCCCCAAGCACTTGGGCCATTTTCTGCTGCTTTCCCAGGCACATTAGCAGGGAGCTGGACTGGAAGTGGAGCAGCTGGGACTTGAACCGTTGCCCACGTGGGATGCTGGTGTTGCAGGTGGTGGCTTTAACCTGCTGTACCACAACGCGAGCCCCAGGTCCAAAGATAAAGTTCTGAAATGTTCTACGACGTGGTTTGGAGCAACTTGAGTGAATGGGGACTCTGGGCAGATTGGAATCCTTCCTTCATTGTCACGCTCTGTCCCTGGTTTGGCAGGTTGCCGTGTTTTTTGGTGGTCTGTCTATCAAGAAGGATGAAGAGGTGCTGAAGAAGAACTGCCCGCATATTGTCGTGGGGACTCCTGGCCGCATCCTAGCCCTGGCTCGGAACAAGAGCCTCAACCTCAAACACATTAAACACTTTATCTTGGATGAATGCGACAAGATGCTTGAACAGCTCGGTGAGTGGCAGTGCTGGGACTGGCTGGCGGTCCAGGGCCCCGCCCTTCAGAGCCAAATGATGCTTGTTTGCTACAGGAGCACTCAGTGCAAGGACGACTCTATCTATCACCCATGACTGATGGCTCTGGGTTCCCTGGACTGCCTTTGTTAGCGCTTTAAACAATTTTGACCGTTAGCGAGGTGGATATCGTGTGCTTTCTATGACAGATGTTCTTTGAGACTAGGAGTCTGATAATACGCCACCACTACAGCTCCTCTTTTTTTTTTTTAACAGTGGGTGTTGTAGTGGGAGGTACTCAACAAGGAGATGGTCTACTCTGGCCTCTGAAGCATAACACCTGCGGTTAGGATTGTGGCTGAGTAGATTGCTAGGCCTAAATTCTGGGATAATGGAGAGAGAGTGGGAGTTTGTATGGTGTGCTGTTCTAGCGGGCTGAGTGGGGTTGTTGAAGGAAAATTTCAGTAAGAACTGAATGTGGGTGAGTGGGTGAGGGGGGTGGACATAGTCTAGGGAAGTTCTTGTGATGGATCTTGATGGCTGTTTAAGATGGCCAGCTGTCAGGTGGCTCCGGGCAGTGATGGCGGCGTGGAGTAGACTTGACATCTGGAATGTCGTAACTGCAGAGGCTGGGGCTTAGAGAATGAGGAGTTGGGAGCATTTTGCAAAGGCCTTGTCCTTTTGAGACTACGTGGTGGGCTTCATCCCTGTTTACTTGGGGCTTTGGGGTTGATTGAGACAGAGCTGGGAATCGTTTATTTCAAGCTCGCTGCTTTTTCCCTTGTGATTGCTGTGGGTCTGGTTTGACGGTGCTCGGAGAACTAGAGAGAACTGGGGCACTTTTCCGTGGAGTGAGTCACTCGCTTACCTGCTTCCAGTCTCGACCTCAGCCGGCAGGCCCTCTGCTCTGGTTTTCACGGTGCTGTTTTCTCCTCTCGTTTTTCCTTCACTGCAGACATGCGTCGGGATGTCCAGGAAATTTTTCGCATGACCCCCCACGAGAAGCAGGTCATGATGTTCAGTGCTACCTTGAGCAAAGAGATCCGTCCCGTCTGCCGCAAGTTCATGCAAGATGTAAATACCCTTCTACCT